CGCCCCTTTCTCCAGGACTCCGCTCTCGATCCACTTACGATTGCACTGCTCCAATTCTGCATTCACCACGAAAGGCAAAAAAAGCACCCAAAAGTGCTCTGAATGGTAGCAAATGCCAGCAGCAACCCGTTTATGAATTTGTCTGAACATTGCAAATGCCCTCCACGGCATTTGTAACCTAGAACTACACGGGCCCTAGTTTCCCCGAGCCTGTATACTTTCACAGATCATGACTGTCGCAGCCTCAAAAAATTACTGTTTAAAGTCCGACATTCTCAGCACCTAACATCTACCACTCTGTATCTGCAAGTACTCTCGCTTATTTCAGTGCAAAGGCTATTTCTAGAAAAATAGGAAGGAGGGGAAAAAGGTGAATGCCAGGTTAAGAATTTAGCCAAAAATATGCTAAATTAGCCAAAAATATGGGGTTTCAGGCTCGGAATATGTATATCAGCCAGAAGATGAGAAAAAGCCGAAAAAATGGAAATTAGCCAGAAATACAGAGTGTTAAGCTCCCCGTCGAAGCAATCGAAATAAACCAACGTACCAGTTCAGCTTTCGAAAAAAGATAAAACGCTCGGGCAAGCACAGAACGATCCGATGCAGCGTTACACAAATTCAGTTTTTCGATTTCCATAACTTTGCTCAGCCCCACCACACTCTGAGTTATAGTTGCATCAAAACCTCTGCAAAAATTTGATTTATTTTTTAAATCGAATTCACTTGAGCACAAGCAACAAAAAAATTCTTCACAAAACTGGAAACAAACATACTTGGGAAGCAGGCGTACTCGTTGCAGTCCTTTTTCTTCCAGAAAAACGTAACAAAAACGGTCATCACAAGCTGCAAAAAATCACAAGCCGCATTGATTGAGATAGCAGATAAAAAAATCGTGATTAATTAATCGTGATTACTATTATTAATTACTTATCCAGAGCTTAATTTGAGAAAATAGGCGGCCACTCAGGCGGTCTCCGCATTTTGCTTACCTTGCCGACAGACGGTGAATTCGGGCGCGTTAAATGACATAGTCCGATTCAGGCCGACCTCTTGGGAGGAGAGGGGGGAAGAAGTGGGTCTAGCGATTGGGCGATGACCGGAAAGGGGGTGGGAGGGAAACGATCGAGGATTTGGAAGAGAGTTTTCTTCAGTTTTAGCTTTAGAGCCTGACTTTTGCAGCACTGGTTCCTGTGCTACTGGAGGAAGAGGGAGAAGCGGAGAAAGGCCCGTCGCCTCCCCTGGATCATCTATGACTAGTAAGTGGTATTTGCAAGAAAGTAAACCTCCACTTGGGCAGTTCTGGAAGAAATGGCACACACAGTTCGGGTAGATGGTGGATACCAACTGAAGTTGTAATACCAAGCACTGAATTGCTCTCGGCTTAAGCAAACAATAATGATAGTGGTGTGAACAGTAATCTTCCAGCGGTCTAGTATTCTGGGTTATTCACACAGATTTAATTAAAATAAATTTACAATTCTGATTAAATACAATTTAATTTAATATTTAATACGTGATTTATTATTAATTTAATTAATCATGATTTAAAGATTTAACAATGAATTAATATTTAGTATTTAATGATGTTTAACAACTTAATGAATTAATGAATTTAATGAATTAATAATTTAACGAATTTAATTTAATGAATTAATAATTTAATGAACTGATAATTTAATGAATGAATTAATAATTTAATGAATTAATGATTTAATGATAATGTTAATATTTAATAATAATAATGAATTTACAATTAAAATAATAAATGATTTAATACAATTTACAGATTTAATACGATCCCGAGCAATGAATAAATTGCAATTTACCGGAAATTATAAAAGTGTCACAATAAGCGCATGAATCGTTTTCGCACGATCGATTCGGCAAATGAATCAAACGCAGCGATCGGTCTGTGATCAGCAGAACACATTCCGTGTCATCACGAAAACGTCTGCCAAGATCGGTTGGCATCCTCAACGTCATTGCTGCCACAGCTTTCTCATCACTTATCTGGGTAATTGAGCATTCATTTTCATGCGCCACGACACCAATTTATCAAAAAACTAAGTTATTTTTTTTAACTTTTTAAAAAAACTTTTTTAACTAAAAACTAAGTTCTAAAAAACCAAAAAAAACTTTTTTAAGTTATTTTCTTAGTGACTTTCGAAAAGACATCACATTGTAAGCCTAACAATGACAAAACTGGAGACATGATGATGATGGATGATGAATGACGGATGATGATGACGACGATGACGATGATGATGGTGCTTAACACACCAAAAACAACTCGAAACAGCTAAAGCCTTGCCAAGTGTTTCTGTTCAGAGGTTAACTCATTCGAGTTCTTCAGCTGCTTTGACTAATGCTGCCTTAGCTGATAGAATAAAATAAAATGAAGCATGCTAAATGTAATTAAGTCAAATTGTTGATGTGGGAATGACCAAAAACTGCATATGTATGTGAGATGTTGAATAGGAATGGTGAGAACTGGGGTTTTTTTAAGGAAATTAAGGAGAATGGAGGTAATGATTAATCCGTAATTGTAGTGACTAATAGTAATCAATGGTAAAAGGACACAAGAAGGAAGTGACTGGGGAAGAGAAAAGATAGTTATACAGGTGCATATTTTGTGACAAAGGTATGGACATGTGTTGTGAGTTCTTTCCGCTACTGGCAGCTAGATATCTGTAGAAACTGAGTACAGTTTGCAGAAATTACAAGCAAATTATGTTTTTTCTTAGATTCCTATTTGCTGGAATGGGTCAACAAAAGCAGCTGGGACTTACAAAGCCACAGCTGCTGCATACTCAATGCTCATTGTTTTTGAAACCTTGACTTCAGGCCAATCTGTTTGAAAAAATCTACAGATTCAAAAATCTTTGAAATCCTATGTGATTCTTT